AACAGAGAGCTCATGTCTGCCCAAGGTTGAAAAAGGGTGCCGCTGCAAATGGAGACGTGCTAAAAACCCCAATATGGTTGGGGGGTGGGGGCGGGGGGGGGCCGGATATTCTCACCGTCTGCTCTGGACCCTCTCAGGGGACAGAAGCCCTCTGTAACTCTCTGCCATCCGCTCTTTCTTTCCCACTCTGGGGTTTCCAGCTTTCCCATCTGCGTGTGATTTAGGCCCCGGCTCAGCGGAGAGAGGCAAGAACCAGTAGGGGAGAAGAATTTGGGCAGGGAGGGGAGGGGAGGGAGGGAGGGGAGAGGGAAAAAGGAGGAAGTCCATGCGAGTTTGTTTTACAGGAGTCAGCCCCGGGCCGTTACTCAGGGCTGGTGCTACATCTGGAACGGTGGGAAAGTGAAGCGGAGCCAGGAGGAGTTGTCCAGCGGGGGGGGATTGCCGGACAAACGCAAAACATGTCTTCTGAAAGTCTCCGCGTTCTCTTCATCCTATTTTTCGCCCGTCCGGCCTCTGCCCTCAGACCCGGGGACCAGCAGCAAACGTTGCCAATAGTAAGCCAGATTTGATTTGAACTCTTTGATCGGCGTCCGTGCACGTGCCATAACTGGGTGTTTGAATTTCTGTCAGTACATAAAACGTTTTATACATCCAGGGTAGTGTTCACGTCCAGTTTTCTGAATGGATCGTACAGGTTGGGGTGTTTGTAAAGGGCTGTCTGGATGGAAACTGTAAATTCAGAGTGGCTATTTAGCGCTGGTGTGTGTGTGTGTGTGTGTTGGTGTTAGGAAAAGCCAAAGCTCTGCTGCTGTCATGTCCTTACTGCCCCTCCCTGACAGTTCCCTAATGGAAACCAGACACTAGATTATAGGAAACAACCAGAGGGAGACAAAAGGCAGCAAAGGCCGGAGAAGCAATCAGCAACTATTCGCAAAAAAGGGGTTCACATATTAATCCAGTGACTCTTTATGTATCTGTATGAAGGGCTACAACATTCCCTTTAAAGCTTTATACATGGTCAATGATTGTACGTTCAAAATCAAGACCAGAGCAAACACTACTTGAAGTAATGGCAGTGGGGAATATACAACCATAGCCTTTCTGTCTACTTTTCCTCTGTAATTTGATTTTCTTGGTCATTATTGCATCACATTCTTCCTTTTTTTTTCAGGTCATAGCTCCTCTGCTGCTTTTTAGCGTTATTCAGCTGCCTGGTACCAGTTTTGCCTGATAAAACTGACAATTAAAGTCTATAGTGACGAAACTCATTCCTAATCTTACCTCTAAAAGTAGCTAAAAATATGTAGTTATGGGTCAAAAAAGACTAAATTAATCTCACAGATTTGTTTGAAGTTTATAATTGTGCAATCCTTTTGTTTTAGCTGAGGTTCCTTTGAGAGGAAGTCTGGTCCCAGCATCCAGACTGTCTAAATAATCTTTCCTCAGGATGTTTAGTGAACATATCTGGACTAAATCCAGAGTATGTACCCCTCTTCAAACTCATTATGAGGAAAAGACAAGCTCAAGTTGAGAAACAACGCAGTGTTTTTATTTGACATTCAAGCACTAAGACTTAATCCACATCATCCCCTTCATGGGAAAAATCACCAAACAAGCTAATATTAAGATTTACATTGGACAGATTTGAGGGGAAAAAACCAGTCTTTAAACTCGATACCTGTTGTGTGAGAATTCATCCCAAAAGAAAGTCGTTTTCAAACAGAAACTGTACTGATGGGTCTGAAAATACCAAAGCAGAAACTATGGAAAAAGAAGTCTATGTGAAAACAAAGAGGACGTTTAGCATGTTAAATGTCAGCTTTGTTCCGCACAAGTGCATAAAGTAGGAAGGGCATCAAAAGATTTCCCACAGCTGGCAACAGGCAGTGGATGTCCCTTTCCAGTTTCCAATTTATGTTTCTAATTTTACGATAAAAATGAATGGTTTTCACATTGGCAGACATGGTAAGACGGCCTTATGTCATGCATGGAAGATTGGAGGAAATTTTACTTATATCTTGTTAGCTAGTGGACGAAAAGAATGAGGAACTGACTGAATTAGAAACTTGCAAAAGCTACAACATGAACTTAGCCAGAACTGAGCGTTTGGTGGCAAATATACATTTATATAGACGGCATAAAGATTCTCAAAAGAGGTTTAATCACACCTAAATTGTATTTTCACAAAGTGGGCAGAAATCAGCATCCCCATGTCACATATTGTTCACGTCCCTGGTGGTAAGAGGGGTGTGTGATAATGCTGGACAAAGTTCTTTTTGTCTTCATACCAGGGGCTGTTCAGCTCATCACACAGTCGTCCCAAAGCCAGAAGCTCTGAATGGACTCTTTCAAGCGACAAATAGAAAATGATGGCATTCTTGTAAACTTGTGATTTAATGCTTCTGCTTGCAATTCTGGATATCTAAAATTTTGAAGTCATTGTCATCATTAATTCCAATTGCATTATGAATTTGCATGGAATTTTGGGTGTTTGTAACTAAAGAGGAACGTCAGTCAAATCCAAAGGAAAGTGGTTTGTGAAAAGAATAAGAAATATCTACATGTTCTTCTCACATTGGCTGGTTACAAACACATCTTTGTGCAGCTTGACTGTGAATAAATCAAAGGATGAATCCAATTCCAGTGTGTCTATGACATGTTCTGTCCTCTGCTCGTTTGAAATTCACAGCATCAGTCTGCCAACACGTGAAGGTCACATTCTGGAGTTGCCATGGTTATTTTTGCATTCCCCATTCAATGGTGGTGCCTTAGATATGCTCAAAGTCTGCATCTGTGTGTACCAAAGAGAAAGATAAAACTCTGAATTCTTACCAAACGGATAGCTTTTTGTGAATATGAACTAAACAGAATGTAGCTGTATCTGTTTATGCCTCAGATACAGAGTTAGGTTTTTAATACATTTCAATAATTAAGGGTTAAATAAGGCTTATAAAGGTTTATTTGACATGAGATTACATAGGTGCATTGATTACTGTAGTAAATTGTATTGCAAAAAATATTTTATAATATGCCACGATATGTTTCCAAAATGATCTTCTCAAATATCTATTCGTGATGATATTTTTTTTCTTTGACGATTCTTAATCTACCTGCATTGCTTTGATGCACTCATCCATGACAAGTTAAAGTGTAATGTCCAAGAATATGTAACATAATGTGCATTTCAAAGACTGAGAGGTATCATTAAACCACCACTTAAAAGTTTAAACTCAGCTGAAAACAGGACGAATAAGGCCTACAGTACATGATAGTTATTTATAACTAAGTGAGTTATTCAACACTCTGTAAAGCACGGTGGAGGAAATAGTCAAGTTATTTCCTCTAATAAAACACATGACTGTGTAGGCTTTATCTCTGATGCCACTTCGAAGCCAAGAATTTCCCTTTTACACCACAAATATTTAAAGCAAAGAGGAAACATTTCAATGAATTCTAGGGCAGTTCACCATACGATTAAACTCAAAGTAAAAGACTCTGATTGGTCTCTTTTAAAAGGTGTCTTGATATTCACTTAAATAGTCAAAAAGGACAGAAAGCATGGCTTGAAAGTTGCACATTCTGACACCACTCTTCTTTTTCTGCCTCAGGTATGCAAAAAGGGATTTTTCCTCAGTGACAGAAACGTCTGTCTACCATGTAACTGCAGGGGCCACGCTGACTTTTGTGAGGACGTCACTGGTGTTTGTATAGTAAGTTTTACACTCCGATTAGCCCTCAATCGATTACCCAAGTAAAGAAAGTCTGATGACGGCTATATTTTCAACTCTCCAGAACTGCAAGGACCACAGTGCGGGCGATTTCTGTGAAATGTGTGAGGACGGCTACTTTCTGACCCCCGGTCTGGACGGGCACCATAGCTGCAAACCCTGCCCCTGCCCCCTCTCCATCCCGTCCAACAGGTGAG